TTACAGCAGTGACGCAAGGAGAAAAGAAAGTAAAGTAGGAAAGAAAAATTGGAAGTGACAACAAAGAGGAGTGGTGTTGCAGTTTTACATATGGGAGTCAAAGAGGACTTCGCTGAAAAGGTGATAGTAAAATACAGTCATTCAGGACATGTGAGATTGAGCCATGGAGAATATTGAGCCATGAGGCTGGGAAGAACATTCAAGATAAACAGAGTAGCAGATACAAAGGTCCTGGGGCAGCAACATGCCTGCCATATTCAAGGAACAGCAAGGAAGTCACTGGGGTTGGAATGGAGTGATGGAGGGAGTCTGCAGTAGGAGATGATGCTGGAGAGGTCCAGGGGGCCAGATTGGGAGGGGCCTCAGAGGTCATTAACAAGTACCTTGGCTGTCATTGTAAGTGATTTGAGACTCCTTCCCCAAAGGGATATGAAGAGAGCAATAACAGGATATAACTTCTATTCTTAAAGGAACATTCTGGCTGCTAGGTTAGGAAGAGATTATAAAGAAATACGGGCAGGGAGAACTGTTAAGAAGTTATAGCAACAGTTCAGGTAAGAGATGATGGTGGCTCTAACCAATGGTGGTAGCAGTGGAGGTGAAGAGTGGTGGGATTCTAGATATATTTTGAAAGCAGACTGGCAGAATTTGCTGATAAAATGGAAGTAGCTTGTGGGAGAAGAAGAGTCAACATGACTCTAAGGATTTTAACCTGAGTAACTAGGAGGATGAAGGTGCTATTTACTGAGATGAGAAAGATTACAAAAGAAGCAGGTTTAGGGGACAGTCATCAGAAGTTTGATTTGGTGCATATTAAGTTTGAGGTGCCGTCGTATTTCTACTAGAGTTGTTGAGTAATCAGTTGTACATGCACCTCTGGATTTTAGGGGAGAGTTCCAAGCTGGAGTTGCAGATATGGAAGAAAAAGCCATGTAAGTGACATTTAAAGCCATGAGGCTAGAGGTAGAAAAAGAGAAGAGGTCTAGGGCTGAATTCTCATGGAGAGATTTTAGTGCCAGTAGGTAGATTAAGAAGTTAGACTGAAAGTAGTATTACCGCATTATTAATAGCTTTCTGCAAGCATTGACAATGTATAGGCTCCAGTGGACCTAAGTGTTTTTTACTTTTTGTAGGATTCCTTTGGCCATTTGCCATTTATCCATAACTTGGTCTCCATCTTAAATTTTGGCTCTTTCACACTCGCTGCCCTCCCTTCACGCCTGCATCACACTCGTTTTGAATATCCTCATTGGCAGTACAACTTCATTTGAGTGTAAAACGCATCTTTGAAAAACTGTCAAAAGTAATTTGGGGATTCATCTGGGGAATGAAATGGGTAACCAACTCGGTTAATATTGTTTTTGATCAAAAATTAGGTGTGACCAAGTCTACTGTGTGGTTTATGTGCCTGGTCCAAAAGCAATTTCAACAGGAGTGCTCTAAAATGTTTTGAGCAAAGACAACATTACTGGAAAAAATATATAGTTTCCGAGAAGACTATACTATGTTCAAGGCTATCATATATCATATACATATGTAAGTTCTGTTAACTTGATTAACAGTATGTCTTAACATGTTGTTTTATCTTATGTTTATGTAGATGCTTAAAATCCATAAACATCCATGTATCCATAAATAATATCTAATTGAATCTTCATTTTCCAATGTAAGAGTTTCTTAAATAACTGTTATTTTAATTTAAGAGGATTACCTTACCAAAAGCAATGGAAAACAATTATTTTAATGAGTAAAGGATTTACCAAAAAAATTTAAAGTATTTGTCCAGATATTACAAAAGTTGCTGAATGCGAACACCACAGATTTACAAATAAGTGTCCTTGGACGTCTGGCTAATACTAAGTTTGTAGCAAATGTATCCTCTTTAAATTATGCCACTTATTTGTTCACTGAACAAATATTAATATTTATTAAGTACTGGTATGCTCCAGATGCAAGTCATGTGGAGAAGAGTTTGCTCCTTTAGATCCTTCCAAATGCATCCTGAGAGATTTACATGCTTAAAGAAGAGAGCCGAAATTGTGTCACTGACTTTCTCCACATCCGGTGTAGTCTCCTGGGGAGTTACATGGAGGACACATTTTCACTAGACTTGAGGAAGGTTGGAAGAGCTGGTGAGGTTTAGAGTTCTCCTTTTCTGCTTACTGCACCCAGACTCAGATCGTTAGTCACTTACCCTGTGACATACAAAGCTCCCTCTCTTTCATAATGACGTAGTCCAATTCCTATCCTTGCCTCTGACCTGACCCATCCTTAAGTGGGGTGTAACAGACAGCGGAGTTTTAGTTTTCCTTAGAGGCGAACTACAGATTTTGTTCTAGCTTCTGGGAATGTGAAGATGGGGTTCTTGTTCTCAAAAAAATTATCACTTTTTGAGGAGAAAGAAATATGCATAAGTGATTACATCAGAATATGATAACTATTATGATGCTATAAACTCTATAAACTCAAGGTACAGTGAGAACTGGGGGGAAACCCTAAGGGTTCTTGGCTTCACACAGAAGCCACTGGCAGTTCGCAAAGAAGTAGAGTCAATCCTCCACAAAGCTCGGCACGATGAGCTAGATGGAAATCCTTGGGACACAGCCTTTTTTCTTTCAGGCTTTAATCTTCCAGCTATCCCTGCTTTTTCAGAGCCTTTTCACTAGTTTCACCCTGACACTTCATTTTGAATGAAGTCCAATGTTCATTCTAGAGCTTTCTCTGTGAAATATTTTATAGTCCTTACTCCAAGGGTTGCAATCGTACTGAGGCAAAAACATTATAATTGGCTCATGGTTTCTTACTTAAAATTGGGCACTATACTCATTCTTCTTATTAATGTTGACACTAATTGCCCAAAGGAGGTAAATGATTCTAAATGTAGGTTTACATGTCTCTTATTATTATACATGATAAACTTACGATGTTTTTCATGTGTTTCACCAGTATGGTCAGCTTCACGTCCTCGTATGATATGACTAACTGCACCTGAGGCTTCTTATCAGAAAACTTCTCACCTGATAAAACAATAGAGTTCCAGTGAGTTAATTTGGAAGTAGCTCATCACAGAATAAATCAACATTTAAAGACTAAAACAGGACCAATGAATAATACGTAAGGAAAACATTCTTCAGATAATGTTGGAATCTTAATACTCTTCAGGAGGCAGGGTTGGTTGGGTAGAGGTGGGATTTGTGTCTAATCTTTCTGAACTAACTCTTCCTCCTAATATTCCATGCTTTGTTTTGATTGGTGCCATTATTTCCTCAATTACTTAAGCTTAAAATCTCAGTGTCATTTTTGGCTCCGATTTTCTCCTTAATGTTCAGTATAATGAACATAAAGTATCAGAGATCACAGAGGTTTAGAAGTCAGTTCACTTTAGAAGTCAGTGAACCTGGGGTTCAAGTCCCAGCACTACTACTTATGACTGTGTCATCATGACTAAGTTAATCAACTTTATGTAAAATGGAAATAATAGTTAACTGCTTCTGGGTAGTTGAGATGATTAGCTGATAAAATGCAAAAATTGTCATGTCATAAGTGTTTGTAAAATTACTAATAGTCTTTGTTTATATATTTGCACTCATCTCTTCCTTTCTTGTCCCATAACACCTAATTCAGACTCATAAACCTTTTGCCTGAACTACTAGAACATTCTCTTACCCTCCCCCCAAACTCAAAGTTTCATACAGCAACTTTTATAAAATTACTCTTTGATTGAAGTATCTTTCATAGCTTTCCATTGCCTATGAAAAAAAGGTCTAAATTTCTCAGCCTTGTATTGTTGCTTCTTTTTTTATTGATTTCAGCATAGTACAGGGTACAAATGTTTAGGTTACACATATTGCCTTTGCCCCACCCGAGTCAGAGCTTCAAGTGTGTCCATCCCCCAGATGGTGCACACCACACCCATTAGGTGTGAATATACCCATCCCCTCCTCCACCCTCCCACCTGCCTGACACCCGATGAATGTTACTACTGTATGTGCACATAAAAATGTTGATCAGTTAATACCAATTTGCTGGTGAGTACACGTGGTGCTTGTTTTTCCATTTTTGTGATACTTTACTTAGAAAATGGGCTCCAGCTCTATCCAGAATAATACAAGATGTGCTAGATCATCATTGATTTTGTGGCTGAGCAGAACTCCTTGGTATACATACACCACATTTTATTAATTCACTCATGTATTGATGGGCACTTGGGTTGTTTCCACATCTTTGCAATTGTGAATTGTGCTGCTATAAACATTTGAGTGCAGATCTCTTTTTTATAGTCTTTTGTTCCTTTAGGTAGATGACCAGTAATGGGATTGCTGGGTCAAATGGTAGTTCTACTTGTAGTTCTTTGAGATATCTCCATATTACTTTCCAGAGAGGTTATACTAGTTTGCAGTCCCACCAGCAGTGCGTGAGTGTTCCTATCTCTCTGCATCCATGCCAACATTTATTGTTTTGGGACTTTTTGATAAAAGCCATTATCAGTGAAGTTAAGTGATATCTCATTGTTACTTCTTATTACTGTGTTTTATTCCTCCGTATTATTCTATACTGTCATCCATATGTTTAGTCCTACAAGCATGCTCTACTATTTCCTTGTAGTCATTTCTTTTATTATTCCCTTCATTTGAAAGGATTTTGTTAACCATTTTTGTCTATTGAACTTCCACCTATCTTCAAAGCCTAGTTAAAATGCAAAATAGTTTCTGTGGTCCCCTCTCCCTGATCTCTCCTAGCACAGCCCTTATCACTTAATATTTATGTTGGAATTATTTTACATGTCTAAATTTGTTTAGTGGATTACAATCTACCTCAGGGCCTACTTCTTTTCCCTGTATCTCTAAGGGACATAAGCCAACACTTGCTCCATTAATGTACACAATAAACATTTATATAACAACAAAAATTACGTTAATTTTTCTTTTGAGTTGCATCATTATATCATCAAAATGAGAACTTTAGCTTTTTAATTAGAAACTTCTGGTTTATAGCCCAAAGATTAAGCATAATTTACAGTTTTACTAGTATTTTCCTTGATAATCTCTGGTTGTATATTCTCTGAGGAAATTCAGAGAAAAGAAATTTATTAATAACAAAAAATTTGTCAATGTTCAACTGGGAGCTCATTGTGGTCTGTATTGTTTTCCGATATTCAATCCTAATTCTCTAATCTTCTCTAATATCTGAAAATTACACCTGAGCAGTATGGTTTCTCCCCCAAAGCCTTGTACATGTCTATTTGAGTAGTTTACGCATTGTATGTAGGTAATATTAATGAATTTTATTGTTAATAATGTGAATTACTGACATTGGAAATAGTGTTTTTGGCAACTGAAATGATAATTACATAAATATAATTAAAATTATTTAACATATCTTGATTACAATAAGAGAGACATTGTGAGTTAGAGATACTATGAGTTAATTCTGAATGTAGAATTGAAGTAAATTGCATTTCATAATAAAAAATGTTGTTGAACTTTTAGTATAAATGTGCTAAAAATACTAATGACTCTTTTATGCACAATGAACATTATATTTGAATTAAAGAGTGAAAGAATTATTAAGCAGAAACTCAGTGTGTTTAATCAGAGAAGTTTTAATTCGAAGACAGAAATTAGCATAAATTTATGATTGAGTGCTTAAATAGTAAAGGTACAGTTGCTACTTGAACTGACTGAAGATGATGTTCCACCCTAAACCCTTTATGCAAGATTGATAATCACAGTGTCCACTAAAACGTGCCAGAGTTCAGAACCCAGTGAAAATTCACGCCATTGGGAAGTCTTAGTAGTCAATGTAGTAGTAGCAGTAGTACTAGTGGAGAGATTTAATAGTTCTATAAGTCTTACTATGTGCCAGGCTCAGAGCTTATGTACAGAAATTCACTAAACCCTCACAGCAAATTCATGAAGTTTGTATTATCACCTTTCTACACGTGAGGAAACTAAGGCACTTGGTCCAAGGTCATGCAGACAACAAATACAGGAATAAATGATCTCTGAAGTCTATGTTCATAACA